ATAACTTTCCATGTAGTACCACTTGTATGTAAATTTCATAACTTCATCTTTTCTAACAGCTACATAGTACTCCATTGTGTAGGTATACCAAAGTTTCTTTAACCAGTCATCTGTTCTCGGGCACTCAGATTCTGGCTATTGTAAAGAGTGCTGCAATGAACAAACAAATGCAGATGTCACTTTGACTATACATTTTTGCCTCTCTGGGTTATATTCCCAGGAGTGGCATTGCTGGGTCAAATGGGAGCTCAATTTCTAGTTTTTTGAGAATTGTCCATACTGTTTTCCAAAAGGGCTGAACCAGTCGGCATTCCCACCAGCAGTGAAGGAGGAAGATGCAGATCAAAATCACAATGAGATATCATCTCACACCGCAGAGACTGGCCCACATCCAAAAGAACAAAAGCAACCGGTGCTGGGCTGGATTGTTTAATGTTCAGTCCCTGCAGTTCTCAGAGGACCTCAAGTCTATATCTGTAGTCCTGTGGGACTGTGCAGTACTGGGAATTAAACTTGCGTGGCATGCATCATTTTGGGGAAGGCATGCGGGCCATACCCAATGATGCTCGGGATTTTTCATGGCTCTGTGTTCAGGAATTATTCCTGTTTATTTTGGGACCACATAGGGTACTCGGGATCCAACCCAGATTGGCTGCATGGAAAGCAAGAGCCCTATCTGTACTATCTTGCCAGTCTCAAGGCATGCATCTTGACCCCTGATCTATCTCTTAGTTCCATCTTTAAAACTCTTTTTCCAAGTTGTTTTTCAAAGTCATCTCACCCCATATCCTGTTTTGGGGAGCTCAAGGGTTGGGCCATACCTGATAGGGTTCAGTGACTATTCCAAACTCAAGACTCACAGTGTTGATGAGGAGCTTGGATTGAGTCATCTGCAAACAAGATAAGCATCTTAACCCCCTATACTGTCCCTGGTTCTTCAAAAATAAATTAAAAAATAATCTTTTGTGCTAAGACTCCCTTTGGGGAAATGCTGTTATCGTTAGTTGATGAATGTTATTAAGAACAAAATGTGTATGTGTGTGTGTGTGTGTGTGCGTGTGTGCGTGTGTGTGTGTGTGCGCCACATATGCACTGTAGATCAAACTCCAAGGGCCTCTCATAGGCAAGGCATGATACACTCTGCTGCTCCACTATGTCCTTAGCGCCCTAGAACAAAACATTTTTAGCAGGTTAAATATTGGTCTGTTGTAAGTTAATGTGGAAAGCAGTATTTTTATGTACCTGTGTATCTGGTTATCGTAAGAACCTTTCAGAGAAAGAATTGGTAAACTACCTTGTAGATTAGGCAGATGTGATCTTTAATTGCCTTAATAGGGTAAGCAGCTCTGTACTTCCAGTCAGTTTTAGCTCTTGGTTCATCAGAGATTTCTGCATCAGTCCATGTTGCTGGGCTTGGTAATTTCTCGGAAATCCTAATTAACATCACAGATTGTCAGCTGTAGCACTGCAGTAGATTCTGCACCTATATTTTGTTTTTGTTTTGGAGCCCTGCTTGACTGTGCTTGGATTTGCTCCTAGCTCTGTGCTCAGGGATCACTCGTGGAAGTGTTCAGAGGCCTATGTTTGATGCTGGGGATCAAATCCTGGTCAGCTGTGAGACAGGCAAGCACCTTACCCATTGTACTGTCTCTCTGGCCCCTGCACCTATTTTTCAAAACAGCTTTATTTTCTTTCTTAACATATTGGTAGGATATCAGTATTGCTTTAGATTTTTGTTTGTTTGTTTTTTAGAGGGCTGTTTATCCACTTGTGCTCAGAGATTGCTCCTGGTAACACACAGGGGTTCATGCAGTGCCAGAGAAAGAGCTTGGGCCTCTGCATGCTAACGAAACCCATCGAGCTGTCTCTGGCACTCTGATACAGTTTTGTACTGTTTTATTTAAACATTTAAAATTATTATTGTAACTTATTTGTAATAGACCTGTAAGGAAGCTGTAGAACAGAGATAGATCCATTTCTTCTCTACCTTTTGCCTGGGAAGGGAAGAAATTATGTGTTTTTTGTAAGTGGAGATGAACTCTTTTGCCCTCAGTAAGAGACATTTTTATCCCTGAGTAATGGAAACTATGTCACTGTCCTCCCCTTGTTCATCGATTTGCTCTAGCGGGCCCAGTAACGTCTCCATTGGAGACTTTGTTGTTACTGTGTCTGGCATATCGAATACTCTCGGTAGCTTGCCGGGCTCTCCGAGAGGGGCGGAGGAATCGAACTCGGGTCGGCCATGTTGGCTGCGTGCAAGGCAAACGCCCTACCCGCTGTGCTATCGCTCCAGCCCAATGGAAACTATAAAAACTGCAAAATACCAAATGTTTTTCTGACATGTTGGTATTTATTAAATGTCTACTTTGTGCTACTTTGTAGCAGTATTTAAAGAACCAATCTTCACTGTCCTGAAAGAGTTGGTGGGACAATGATTTTGTAAATGATAAATACACACAGCATAATGTGCTTAGTGTTACAAGAAGTGGATATTGGAAGCTCTGGTGACACCTCTAAACTGTGATGAGGAAAATAGAAAGCACGAATGTGAGCAAGAAGTAGCTTTTGGAGATACAAGGAAATAAAAGACATCACTTATAGATAGCTTTGCAAAAGGCATGGGTTTGTGAAAAGTAGGGTATTTGGAGATGCAGGCAGTTTGATTTTATAAAACCTATCCATAGTAGGAGGATGGAGGATGAAGCCCCGAGGAACGAGCCCAATAGGTCATGACCATAGTTGCTGTACCAGGCAGAGTTTAGAAGACCATCCCTATGTATGGTTCTTGTTCTGTTAGCACTTTTCATATAGTAACTAATGAATATTAACAATGAGTAAACTGTATTAAAATTCTGTTTCTGCTTATGGCTTGGGCTCCCAAGCAATGCTTCTGGTGCCTGGGAATCACTCCTAGAGATGTTTGGCCATCCAGGCTGGACAGATCACTGACCCACTGGTACTTAGGAGGCTCTACGACTACACTTAACGATGGTGGTGATTGAATTTGGGCTGTTCTTCAGACTTTTGAACTATCTCCTTGACCCTTGTTCAAAAAATTTTTTTTTTAAATTTTGGTTTGAGAGTCTTACCACAGGTATTCCTGGCTCTGTGCTCAGGAGTGACCCCTGGTGGTGCTTAGGGACCATGGTCTGTGGATCAAACAGGTTGGTTGCATACGAGGCAAGCGCCTTATCTCCTGTACTCTCTATCATCAATATCATGATCACGACCATCCTGTTGTTCGTCGATTGCCTCGAGCAGGCCCCAGTAACGTCTCCTTCATCCTAACCCTGAGATTTTTTAATAAGTGCCATATTCAAGGCTCTTTCAGGGTTAGGAGAATGAGACCCATCATTGTTACTGGTATTTGGCATATTGGGTATGCAACGGGGAGTTTACCAGACTCTGTCGTGTGAGGAGGTTACATTTGGTAGCCTGGGATATATTCCCAGGAGTGGTAATGCGACATCTTATTATCATCAATATCATCTTTATGATTTATGAATAAGATCACATAAGTTACCCTTATGCAAATGCATTAGCCTATATTCTTAAAAATCAATTTTACTGAGGACCTGGGGATGTAGTGAAAAGTAGCAAACACTTTTATTGAGATATAATTTATTTACAGCTCTTAATTTTAATTCAGTGAGCTTTGACAAGTAAATCACCACTTCGTTGTTCTTGATACAGCATGTTTTCTTCATTCTGTAACTTTCAGTTTCATTAACTAAATTAACTCTTGAGCCCTGGAAAATACAGTATCTGAAGAATAGAGAAAAAGATAGCACCTTTAAACCAACAAAAAATTTTCCCTATAGAGAAATACACATAAAAGAGAATCTCTGGACAGGTATTGCTTGGGGGGCATTGTTGTTCTTAAAATCTTCAGAAAGAAAAGAACCAATGTTAAAGAGTTGTCTACAGAATAACTAGTGTGGTGTCATATAAAGATGTTTAGTGGGGAGTGGTGGAGGTGGAAAAAAAGCAGATTGGAAGTAAACAAAACCAAATTTTTTTAAAAAAATTTTTTATTAGTGAAACACCATGAGGTAGACTTACAAATTTTTGTGCTTGGGTTTCAATTATACAATGATCAAACACCCATCCCTCCACCAGTGCCCATTTTCCACCACCATGGATAATATCCCTCCCACCCCCAACCCCCCATCCCACCCTGCCTCTGTGGCAGGGCGTTCCCTTCTGTTCTCTGTCTCCTTTTGGGTATTGTGAAAACCAAATTTTTGAATGCAAAACTAGAAACCTGAAATATGAGTTCTAGCAAACAGTTCTGATAATAGTAAAATGTTTCACTCTTCATGAGACCTTGGTGGGCTGTTTTTTGTTTGTTTGTTTGTTTGTTTTTTCACTTTTAAAATGGGAAATTGGATGGCATATCCCAAGTTGTATTATGCATAACTTTGTGAATAGGAATTACAGGTTGAGATAAGAAAACTATGAGTAAGGCCTAAAATTTTAAAAAGGAATAGTTACATCTAGATTTTATACCAGCAAATAGGGGTGAAAGCGCAAACACTCATGTCGTTGTGTTTTGTTTTGAGGCCATACCTGGGTATGCCAGAACTTATTCCTGGCACTGTGCTCAGGGTCTCAGGGGTTGGGGGCCCATATTTGGTGCCAGAAATCGAACCCAAGGCACCCACTTCCAAGGCTAGCACCCTCCATAACTACTATCTCTCTGGTTGTAGTTGTGTTTCTGAATATTCAGCTGACTTTCCTTGGCTGTTGTTAACAGCTTTAGAGGTAAGGATGCTTTTCAAAAACACTTCTGCCTATAATTCTACCTTGTGATTATGATCCCTTTTGGGTAGGAATGACTTTCTTTAGGGGACTGAAAATTAAATCATTAAATCATTACATTTATTTTATTTGACAGAATTACTGCTTTTAAAAATAAAATAGGTTTAGGTACATGAGGTTATGAAGGTTTATATTTGTAAACAATTGTTTTATCCATGTTGTTCATTTGTTTTAACCAGTTACCCATGGGTGTATTGTTTCCACAATAAAACTTTTTCTACCAGATGGTATGGAAGCCCGGCTCCGATCAGAGTGAGTATAACTTACTAAGTTTTTGTATTCATTATCATTTAATAGTAGTAGTCTAATGATTTAAGAATTTACTGTTAAATTCTGATTTATTTCAGAATTAAATTTATGTTGTTTTAGAATATGCTTTAATTTAATTGTTTTTCTCATTAGTGCTTTTCTAGTCAATAATGTACAGGGAGGAATAAGTTTTATTTCTAAATCTAACTTTACAATTTGTATTTGATGGTTTATTAGTTTTTTTTCAAAGTATTTGGGGTATATATGTTATTGGCCAATAATTGACTGTTTATTTTGTTCTTGCTGGCCATGCTTTATCTTGCTGGCCATGCTTTTTTCTTGCTGGCCATGCTTTTCTTTATATAAATTGTTTTATAACAAAGTAACATAAGATAGCCTTCATTAAGCAGTGGATCCTCAAAAGGCTCTTAATGTATTCTGGATTTGTATTTATTTAGAGCTTTATACTATGTTTATTAAGAGTTGAAAAATAATTCACTTTCCTATAATTATTAAGACAAGTCTTTCACTTCGGGGTTTAAACTGTTCTGGTATTGTCATATTTTGTTTCCTCTGCTGTTAGGAAATTAGATAAAATTTCTAAATTTTGCTTTTCAGTGTCATCCATGCTCCATTACCAAGTCCTGTTGACAAAGTAAGTTTGCTAATGATTCTTGTTTCCCAAACAAATTCTACTATATCAATTTGGAAAATACTTTTATTTTTAATATGCCTTACCTAAAAACGTTTCTCTTTTATAATGATACGTATTTTAATGGCGTGTGTGTGTGTTTGTGTGTGTGTGTGTGTGTATAGAGAGAGAGAGAGAGAGAGAGAACGTATAACTTAGTTACTACAGTCATGTTATCTATATCCAGATAAGTTAGGATAGATGTTTCTTAGGGAAAAGCTTTTGTTGTTATCTCAATTAAATTGTTAACTGTGGAATGTGAATTTTGTCCTGGCCAGAGCTAAGAAATTTTAGTTACAGCTTTTTTATTTTGTAGTACATTCCTGTCTACAAATATTGTCTTCACCCCAAATAGTCATTCAGTGTCTGTACATGGAAATAGCACATATATATATGGGTTTATAGAAATTGCGGGGGGTTTTTTTTTTTTTGTATTTGAAGATCAGATCAGTTTTAACCTGTTGGGGTTTATTTTTTTTCTATAATTTCAGTAATTTTATAGTGTATTTTTTCTCATTTAGAAATAATGATGTATTAAACTAGAGGTAGCACTGTAGCACTGTTCTCCTGTTCATCAAATTGCTCGAGCAGGCACCAGTAACATCTCACAACAAATAGTGAGACTTGTTACTGTTTTTTGGCATATTGAATACATCATGGAGAGCTTGCCGGGCTTTACCATGCAGGCAAGATACTCTGGGTAGCTTGGTAGGCTCTCCGAGAGGGGCGGAGGAATGGAACCCGGGTCGGCCGCATGCAAGGCAAACGCCCTACCCACTGTGCTATCGCTCCAGCCCAAACTAGAGGTATTATAGCTAAACAATAAAAATGTTTTTGGCAGTAATAGAGATTTTGAGTTTCCTTACTATATATAAAATCCTAGGGAAAATATTTGATACTTTCCCCTTCCATCTGGATGAAGAATGAAAATCAGCTTGAGTGGTTTTCTGTTAGATTCCTCTTTTAGAAATAAAAGTGGTTAATCATCAACTTCAGTAGTGCTGGGGATTATTTAGACATAAATATGTATTTAATGTACATAATATTTAATATATTCAGTAAATATATTAAATATGTATAAAATACCACTTTTCAGTCTTACTGATTGAGGAAGAACTCTTGTTTGTTTTGTTCTTAAACCTCCCCATTGGGCTCAGGGGCTACTTATGACTCTGTGTTTGGGGTCTCTGTGTTAGGGGTTGCTCCTGGCAGTGCAGAGGCGGAGAGGGAAGCCTTGTAAGGCTGGCTTCAAACCTGGACCTCCTGCTTTCAACGCATGCATTCAGTCCTTGGAGTTCTAGCTCTGACTCCAGACTTTTAAACAAATGGTTGTTTTTATGACTTCTCGTAAAGAATGATCCTGTTAACATCATAAATTGATGTTGCAAGCTTGAGGGGTGCTGAGCCTGAGCCAGCGTCACAGCAGCCTATTGATGCCCTTTACTTCCTCCTCATTTACCCGTCCACTGCCTCCTCTCTTCCTCATTTCTCTTTCTCCCTTCTCTTCCTCTTACATTGCTTTGGCTTTTGAGTTCTAGGCATTTTGACTGATTTGCAATTTTGTTTCGTTTGGGGGCCAGGACTTGTGGTGGCCAGGGGCTACTCCTGGTTAGCTTGGGGGTCACTCCAGTGGTAGCCTGAGAACCGTATAGTGCTTGACATTCCAGTTTTCCCATATGTGCTCTTCCTGTTGAACCTTTCCTCTAGCCGATTTTTACTGTTTAAACACTATTATTTCCTGTCTTTCCGTTCTATTTTTGATTCTCTAAAATTATCTATAATTTGGGGTTGAGGAGGAGAAACACTTTTTATTGATTCTGGCACTGGACTTAGTAAATCATGTCTAGCCTCTCTCCTGTGTTCTTGAGCTGTAAGTGCAGGCCTGACTGGTCTGGCAGTGTGATGCGGGGGGCCACCAGGGTCATGCAGTGGGGTGGCCAGGTGGTCCTAGAGATTCAGCGGATACCTTGCATATGCTCAGCATGACTGCTTAAACTACCTCTTGCCCTTAATTAAAAAAAATAGGGGTAAACTGGTACCTGGCAGCGGTCAAGTGTGGGCATAAAGTGCTATGGATTGAGTTTGGAGCCTCACATGCAGTAGGTATATGCTTCTCCATTTGCAGTATCTCACCGACCGATACCTGTTTTTAAATTCGAAACTGGTGAGCATAATATAATACCACGTATAAATTCTAGCTAGAAATGTTTGGAAAATGAAAGGAGCTAGTTTATTTAAAAAATAATTTTGTTTTGTATATCAAAATTGGTATTTCAAGGATTTGGTTTGGTCTCAATATTTGTGTGCACATATACCTAGGATCTCATGTATGAATTTTACCACTGAACTCTATATTCAGTCCTTACAATAAATATTTTATGTATCTGTTGACTCTGTCATTTGTTTTTAGGTTGCTGCTAACACTCCAAGTATGTACTCTCAGGAACTATTCCAGCTTTCTCAGTATCTACAGGTAAAACTAAAATTTGAAAATTTTTAATATCTAAAAACAAAGTTAGAACATTGAAAGCATGAGATCAAGACTATAACAACCAAACTTACAAATGTTCCTGTTGGGGAGGCCGGCTGGAGGTGGGGGGTAGGGAGGGAATTTGGGGACACTGGTAGAGAGAGGTTGGTTGACACTGGTGGTGGGACTGGTACTGAAACATTGCACGCCTGAAACTCAAATGCAAATAACTTACAAATCATGGTGCCTTAATTTGAATAAATATATACAAATTTTTATAAATCTGTAAAACTAGAAATGATTTTAGTGTCACTGCCAAGACACATTACATGTGTATGGATTGAGTATTTTGTTGCATTTGTAAAAAAATGGTTGAAATATTTTAAATTGAGAGATTTCATTATTTAAGAAATCAGTGACTAAGTTGATATCACCTATTAGCTGACAAATAATAATATAGTATTTTCATGTCTGTTACTCATTGTAAATTTTTTAAAAATACTCCTTGTCAATATGGATTTTTAACTAAATAGTTGTGCTCTTTCCAAGTTTTTGAAAAAATCAACTTCGATTTGATTTTGCTAGGTCACAAATATAGGCTAAAGAAATATTGTTTGCTAAAAATATAAAATAAGGAGGTTTATATATACTCTCTAGAGAGAGTACATTGGGTAAGGTGCTTGCCTTGAGCATGGCCTGTTCAGGTTTGCTCCCCAGCATTCCATTTGGTCTTCTGAGTACCACCAGTAGTAAGTCCTAAGTGCAGAGACAGAAGTAACCCCAGAGCATCCCAGGGTGTAGCCCAAAAACAAACAAAAAAAAATACAGAAGTATTTTCAAAGTAAAAGGGATTAAACATAGGACAGGTCTTATGAAGAATTAATAAAATTATAGTTAAGTCTAAAGATGGTAAGGTAGATTCTTTGTGGGAAGCTTTTTTTTTTTTTCAAAAATGAGGTAGTTTTAAAATAGTTTATTATCCATATATGCTGTTTAAATAAAATTAAATCTGGAGAGATTTTAGTTGTTTAATATACTGTTACTAACAGGTAACCTTGTACTTAATACATGCCAGGCTTAGGCTGGAAAGTTAGTATAGCTGGTAAGTAGCTTGCCTTGCACTTGGCCAACCTGGGTTCAATTCCTGTCACCACATATGGTCCCCTGAGCATTGCCAGGAGTGACCCCTGAGCACAGAGCCAGGAGTAAGACCTCACTCACGGTCCTCCCATTGTTCATCGATTTGCTCCAGCGGGACCAGTAACGTCTCTATCATGAGACTTGTTGTTACTGGGTTTGGCATATCAAATACGTCACGGGTAGCTTGCCAGGCTTTGCCATGCGGGCGAGATACTCTCAGTAGCTTGCCGGGCTCTCTGAGAGGGGCGGAGGAATCGAACTCGGGTTGGCCATGTTGGCCGCTTGTAAGGCAAACGCCCTACCGCTGTGCTATCGCTCCAGCCCTCAGTACAACTGAGCATGTCTGTAAATAAGTGTGTGTATATATATATGTATATATATACACACACATATATATGTACACACACGTACATACATATGTGTATAAATATACACATACATAAACACACATATATATACAGAGAAAGAAAAGGAGAGAAAGAGAGAGAGCACCTGGTCTAGTTCTAGCTTTACCTCCATTGATTTATTTAATCCTCACACCAGCAAAGCATGTGCTCAGACCTATCTTCCTGATCTGATCTGTTTTATTTTCAGTGTGTGTAGAGGAACTGTGAATTTAATCAAATCAAAATGCCATTCCCACATGAAAAATAAGGAACTCATTTATATAGGTCTGATGATTTCCCAAAATTCTATATACTGTTTTGGGAATATATTCTATTATTGGTGTGTTTCACCTCACCTGCCTGTCTCATACACACACACACACACACACACACACACACACACACACACTATTTCAACACCATGGTTTATAGAATTGTTCATGATGATTTGTTACAGGCATTGAATATTCCAAGAACAGTCTCACCACCACTGTTACCTTCCCTCCACTATTGTCTCCATTTTCTCAACCACACCTTAAGCCTGCCCACAATAATTTATTTTATATTGCTTATTACCACTAAAATGGATAATGGAATGATCAAAATATACTTAAGTAAAAGAAAATTTGTGGAAATTGTATCTCACCATGGGTACATTAATCCCTGTCTGAAGGTTTACTGAGCTGTTGTTGCTGGTTGAGCCTTCTGTGTTAATGTTTTTGTTAATCGAACTTAGTTGGCTTCTGCATAGCATTTTCATCCACTCTGTGTGCTCCTCCGGGGTGTTATTACTGTAGAATTCGGGGATGTCATGTGGTGGCCACTCCAGATAATTCAGAATATTTAATTGGGTAGTCCAGCCGGAGGCATGGTGGCAGCTGTTGGTGTGTGAGTGCAGCTGCCAGGGCCTTGGTAGGGTAGGAACTTGGCCTTTTTCCCTTCCAAGATCACCCCACCGGTCTTAGTTGGGACCGGGTATCCAAGAAATTTTTGTGGCTGGTAGATCTCTTTCGAGATTCGACTATGAGTCTCTGGAACAGGGCTGGTAGATGAGCTAACTTACATGGTGGTGGCAATGGGATATGGTTGCAGCCCTTGTTTGGTTTTTGAGCCCCATCTGGTAGTGCTTGGGGACTAAGTCTGCTCTGCATGCATTCAGGAGTCTCCTATCCTGGTGATGCTTGGGAGGGCCATTCTGTACTGGGATTTTTGTGCTAGTAGTTTGGACTTTTTCCATAAATAAAATAGTGTAATTAAAACACCATTGTTACTAGTCATACAGATCGTCAATATAATGCCTCCCCTCCCCCCTACTTTTTTCAGCTGAACTTTGTCAGTTCTTTTAATAGGCACAATCATTCACTGTTTTTTCTCTTTTAGAGAAAATTAATACTGTATACATTTCTGAATTTATAAAATTATAATGTAAATTGTAAAGCATTTAAATAAAAGTTGGAATGGATGCATTTCTTGCCATAAAAATAAAAGACCATTCCTGGATTAGATTTCTGTTAGAATGTGGTTCATGGAATTAAGACACTCTAAATGAAATTGAATTTTAAAAAGGAACATTTGTGAAATTACACCATCTAGTGGAAGTAAGCAGTTGTTTTGGTGGTTTTATTTTTAAATAAAACATGCTCCTAGATCCTGTTTTCCCTGACTAAACCTAATTATGAACAGCTTTATAAAGATTCATCAGTGACTCAATAATAAAATCTTAAAAAAACCCAAACATAAAAACCCAAACAAACAAAAAAAATACTGCTGCATTAGTGTTATATCCTGGACATTAGAAATAGTCTAGAAACTTAAACTTGGTGAGTAAACTTTCTTAAATTTAACCTGAGCTTAATGTGAATTCAGAGGCGTATAACTTTTTATTAGGTTCCTTAATCTTTACTTTCTAGAGTTACTAAAAAACTCTAACCAGACCTATTTCTCCTAATAATTATTAATGATATGGAGAATGTTGACTACGCAATTTAATCCTCAGCTACTATGTTTGAAGTATTATACTCTGTTGAAATTGTTTAGAAGTATTATTAATGATAATGTTTCTACCTTGGATAATGACAGGAAAAAAGAAAGCGAAAGTTCAAGGTGCATAAAAAAAAACATTTGAACGCCATAAGAGCATTTTCACCTTTTTAATTTCCAGTGAAGGAAATATATTAATGTTTAACAAGTTACTTAGATATAAGGGTTTGCTTGCCTAGCTCTTGATTTATAAAAGTATTCCTTTGGAGTAGAATAGATGTATAATTTGTTGATCGCTTAATTACATTGTACCCATATTTGATGATCTCTTATTTTTGCTTTAATTGCTTCTAAGTGGTATATAGTCAGAGTTAATCAGGATGCCTATACATTTATATATGTTATAAAATTTGAGGTGGTTTTTGTTTTGGTTTGGTTTCTGCTTGGGGGCCACATTTGTCTTTCCTCAGGATTTCTTCCTGGCCTGCACTCACCTTTAAAATATGTACTGTTTTATTTGTTTTTAAGGGAAAGAGAGAGTAGGAGTAGGGCTGAAATATTTGTTGGAGTCTTAGACTCTTAGTTTGTTTTATTTTTAAAATCCTATATACTGTGAAAAAGAAAATAAAAACAAATAATTTGCTTTTTGTTACAGGGGAAGTTGCAACTAGTGTATCCCCAGCAGCAGGGCTAACAGCTCAACAAATGCGACTAAAATGATGTGACCTCCATGTAGTGTACAAATTTAACTTAATCAAATTTGTCTATAAAGAGATATACTACGAAAGTTTTCTAGCATGTGTTAAAAAGTGATTTTGCTTTTCAAAGGAATCATATTAAGTTTATTATACTCTCTTTCATGACCTATTAGGAGGCCTTACACCGGGAACAAATGTTGGAACAAAAGTTAGCCACTCTTCAGCGGCTACTCGCCATCACCCAAGAGGCTTCAGATACCAGTTGGCAGGTATTCCAGTTGTCTTTTATTTAAGAATCATTAAAGGATAATTTAATATTCTTTAGATATTAAATAAGTTAAAAACTAAAACTTTTTTTAAACTAAAACTTTATAGCTGCTATTTCCCAAGGAATAAATATTGAAAACTGAGTATTTTAAAGTAGAATTTATTTGGTTTTATGATTTTATACATCTTATTTTGGTAGTAGAAATCTTTTTAACCTTTTAAGTTTTAATTATTGCAGGACTTTATTTATATTAAATTTTTCTTCAACAGGCTTTAATAGATGAAGATAGACTCTTATCACGGTTAGAAGTTATGGGAAACCAATTACAGGCATGTTCCAAAGTAGGTATTAATCTGTAATACGTAAAAATGCTTGGGTTTTCATTATCTGTAGCTTTGGGTGTATGCTGTAAAGTGTATGCATTTTCACCATGGTAAAGTGAATACCCTGTACAACTCCTTTCCTCCATTTTATCACTTGGTATTGTTGGAGAAACTGGGCATTATTTGTCCTCTGTTATTTTCCTTTACCTGGATTATCATTTTTGTACATTCTTCCTTTTCCTCTTCCCGACTGTAAATTGGTAGTGTGATCTAGAGAATTGATCAGAATTAAATTTTCCTAATTTTTTTAGGATTTCATGTACACTTTTTTTACCAAGAAACACCGTGATGTATGGTTTTCTTTTGATGGTTAGGGGAGAAGATGGCGAGATTAGTAATTGTGATGATTCTTGCCTAGATCCATTGTTAGGAATTGAAAAGCAATGATAATTGTAATTCTTCATGTACTAGCTGAATTACTTCTATAAAGAAAACACTTTTTACAAGCCATTTGGTTACTTAGGAAAAGTAGGCCATATGATTTTCTTCCTTTTTATAAATTTGAAAATAAAGAATTATTTTAATTTCATCTTACCCATCAAGAACTTATTGTCCCCCAGCCCCCATCTTATCAAAATGCATTCTATTTGTTTTTCTTATTATCAAATTATTCATCTCTGGACCAGAGAAACTTCTTCAGGTCAAAGCCTTATTTCTTTCACTAGAACCTTAACAGACTTTGATAGTTCCTGTTCATATCACACAAAGTGTTTCAGAAAATTATTTTATATTTTTCCTGTCTCAAAACTAGAACTAGCATTTTCTCCACACTTCTCTAACTCCTTTTGTTTTTACCATTGATTTGAAATACTTGGACCTCTTAAGGTTAGAGATTATTTTTGCCCATAAGTTTAAGTATTATCATAACAAAAAAAAGTAATTTGTTCCGTATATTTCAAAGAAATTTTTGTTTCCTTTGGCTTTTTCTTTGTTGAAAGTATAAATTGGTATGTCTTGAATGTGTAATTTATTATTGCAACTTTCAACTACAAAGGCTCATATCATTTGGTTTTAGAGGTACCTTAATATGGGATTCAAAAAGCACCATAATTATTTCAAACGGTAAAAGAAACCTTATTTATAATTTTTTATTATTATATAAATATCTTTTTATCCTAGAGTCAAACAGAAGATAGTTTACGGAAGGAACTAATAGCATTACAGGAGGACAAACACAACTATGAGACGACAGCCAAAGAGTCCCTGAGGCGGGTTCTTCAGGAGAAAATTGAAGTGGTTAGAAAACTTTCAGAAGTTGAGGTATTTCAGTTTAAAAATAATAAATAGTATAATTTAAATATTTTAGCCTAAAATGGCTTACAGGACATTTTAAACTTGTGTTTTATTAAATAGCTACATGCAAGGCAAGCACTCTACTCACTATACTATTGCTCCAGTCACTCCTGTCCCCCCCCCTTTTTTTCTTCTTCTTATATTTATTTATTGAATCACTGTGGGAAAAGTTACTAAGCTTTCAGGTTTAAGTCTTGGTCACATAGTGATCAAACACCTCTCCCTTCACCAGTACTCATTTTTCACCACCAAGAACCCCAATATACCCCCCTCCCACCCCTCCCAATGCCTCTGAGGCAGATGATTTCTACTTAACTATTCTCCACATTGATTACATTCATTATTTCGACAAAAGATGCACCATTATTAGAATCCCCCCCCCCCCCCAAACAATCAGAATTGCTGAAAAGGCATTGTGAAATACTTTGTTTTCTATAGCTGGTTATGAGAATCATATAATCTCGCGTGGCTGCAAGAGCAGCCTCGCGATTTTGGATTTCTGCAAAGAGCCAGATAATTACGAGATTGGTTTCTGTGCGTCTGGTGTTACGACTGTGCCAGAGAGCCACTTGTGGGGGGCAACTCATGACCTCCGTAGGGCACGAAGGACAAGCCGGTACCGCCCCCTTCCCATGAGATTGCAGTTGCCCCGTCAACGCCATCTCATACCTGGCTTTCTTATACGCTCTGAGGCTGTGGCCACCTTGCTGGTGGGGGGGCGGGGGGGAGGGAGGCGGAAGGGAGCAACACTCTTTCCCTCCCGGAGAGGCATGGTGCCGTAGTTTAACGCATGGTCCATTCACTTTTCTGATGCAAGCTGCCATCCTGTCCCCTTTTTTAAAAAAAAAATTGTAAAATGCTTAGTTGTACTTTCTGTTTTAGAATATACCTGGAACAAATTGAAGTTCTTATGTTATTTAACTAAGTTTAACATAAATTCCAGGCAGATGTTAATTTAGAATGAATGACCATAGAGTTACACTTTTTATAAATTGAATTTATAATGTATATATATTCTAACTCACTTGCCTATAAATTTGAATTGCAGCGAAGCCTGAGTAATACTGAAGATGAATGTACCCACCTGAAAGAAATGAATGAACGGACGCAGGAAGAACTAAGAGAACTAGCCAATAAATATAATGGAGCAGTTAATGAGATCAAAGATTTATCTGATAAGTTAAAGGTATAAATTTTCTCAAGTTAGAAGTTTGTGAATTGTTCTTAGCACACTGTTTAACTTAAGAAGTTAGGAATTGCTGAAGAGTTGATGTTGTAAATTTTGGTAATCATTGAAACGTGTAGTAAAAATAGGCTCATAGCTTATTTTTTATTTGGCTCATAGCTTATGGCCATAGAAAGTTGAAAGTCTTGGTGTATTTTACCTGGTGGAAATAGTACTTTACAGAGTCATCTTATAATATGACAGAAAGTAGATGAGAATTAGAAAAATCCAAGACATCTCGATTTTTAAAACCTTGATTATGCTTATTATTTACCTTGCACACAGCCAACCTGGGTTTGATTCCCAGCATCCCATATGGTCCTCTCAGCACCACCAGGGATAATTCCTGAGTGCAGAGCTAGGAGTAACCCCTGAGCATCACTGGGTGTGACCAAAAAAAAAAATGTTATAACTTAGAGAACCAGTGGTATGGTTCAGTGGTAGAGTGCATGCTCACAAGTGTGATACTCTAGCTTTGATTCCCTGACACTAAAATAATTTAACCACTTCTTAAAATGTTGTAACTTGAGTTGTGAGGATTGATTTTGACATAATTCAAACCAAGAATTGAGTAGCGAGAAGATTCATACTAGAGCTAAGAATGGAGCATATCTCCATGTGTTGATTAAACTACAAAAAAATTTTTCTCTAAATTTATTCATTTTTCTCCCTCCCTCCCTCCCCCTCCTATGTTCATTCTGTATAATGAAGGTCCAGTGTTGGACACTGCTTGGTTGTGGTGCTTTTATGTTTAATTGTGGTGCTGGTAGTGGTCACATTTCAAGTTACAGTGCTCACACGCTCAACCTTGGTACTTGCTGGGCATCACCCACTTTTAGTTACAGTGATTGCATATGGTCTTAGGGTCATGTTATTTAATTGTGCTTATACACATTCTGGTTGTAATGTTTGCCAGGAGGTTGCCTGTGTACTCATTGGAAAGTCACACACTCCTGGTCGCAGTGCTTGCACGTCTCTCTAGTTGTAGTGCTTTCAGTGGGCTGGGGGTCAGGGGCACGTACTTGTGTACTCTCATTCACCGGGTTACAGTGCAACTGAAAGTGACTTGCTGTATTGGGGATCTTAGGCAGTGCTCCCCAGCCAGCAGTGTGCTCCGTGCGTGTGGGTCACCAGCAACAGCCTTTGAAATCTTGGCTGCATTCTGGAAAAGCAGGTGCTTTTGCGACTGAGCCATCTCACTCCCTGCCCCCAACTAAAACTAGATATCTTAAGAGAAGGAAATAGAGTTCTCTAAAATTACTATTGCTTCATTAGGTTCTAAGTTATTTCAGTAGGTTGTAACTTATTCTGAAATTTTATGAGCCCAGCATGCTTCCACCGTGCACTCGGCTACCTAAAAGCATGTACTAGCCATAGCTGAAGTTTTATGTTATTGGTTTTGTTTTTGAGACACAGCTTACCAGGCTCAGGCTTACTCCTGGTCCTGTGCTCAGGGATCACTTCTGGGCTTGGGCATATGTGGTGCTGGGGATCAAAGCTGGGCCCAGCCCTGTGCAAGGAAAGCAACCTACCTGCTGTACTGTCATTTCAGCCCTGTTATTCTGAAGCTTTAAACAAATTGTAGTTCACTAAAGGAATAAGTCAGTAGACACTTTTCAATAACAACTTTTTAACAAGACCAGCCTTTATACAGGTTAGGTGCTGGGAGAGAAATGGGTTGGAAATCGAAGTGTGTACCTTAAAAACTTAAGGCTGTGGGTACAAACTCCAGTACTGCCCACATGTACAGGGCATGGACTGGCTGCTCTTTTCTCTTCGATTCCCGGCACTGCAACGGATTTCTAGCTGCAGTGCTGCAAGGCGTGTGGGACTATGCAAGTAACGGGCTTGCTGTTTGAGTATGTATGTGAGAACCATAGCGACCCCTAGTGAGCACTACAGCACAGCTAAATGTGTGAGCAACATCAACTGGGCATGTGTTTGATCTCTGCTCACTGAAGCATCAGCAGAGGGAGAGGGAAGGGAAAACATGTGAAGTTGACATTTTCTACCTCTTTTAGACTATTGAGTCTGCTTGCCTTGCATGCTCCAGTTTTCCTCTCCTGGGTACTATGGCTGGACGATCCAATGCAGATCACCTTGCATCATTTTGACATTCATAAATAGTTCTGCAGTATTGAATATTTTCATTGGAGGTTTATGTGCATAAAAGCAGGCTGGTTTTATGAATAAGGCCAGGTTTTATTGAGTAACTGAACTTTCTTTTCCTTGTTTTTTTTTTTTAAAAAAACAGGTAGCAGAGGGAAAACAAGAAGAAATCCAGCAAAAGGGGCAAGCTGAGAAAAAGGAATTACAACATAAGATAGATGAAATGGAAGAGAAAGAGCAGGAGCTCCAGGCAAAAATTGAAGCTTTGCAAGCTGATAATGACTTCACCAATGAACGGCTAACCGCTTTACAAGGTAAGTGAGCTTATCCAGGAATTGATTTGATTTAATTTTTTTTTCTTTTTATCTGTGAAATATCTTTTTCTTGGACTTTTATTTACAGTACGGTTAGAACATCTTCAGGAGAAAACTCTTAAAGAATGCAGCAGCTTAGGTAGGTGTCATCAAATTTTTTGTTTTAAAGCTGAATTTTATCATTAAATACTTGGCATTTACAATTTTACGCGGGTGCTTATTCTTTGTAACACATATTTTATGTATTATGGTATTTAGCTTAAAGTACATAAATCCAAAAAATTTTCTTTAACTATATACTTGATTGCCACTAGTGGGCACCATTGTTTAGTTCTTGGAACTAATGAAATTTCTGCATCTAAGACAGCCTACTAGAGACAGTTGACATAAGAAAAATACATGCACAGCAGGATCTGTTTTCTTTTGAGGTTTACTGGAATGCTACTGTTTTACTTGTGGTCTTTTCTCTGAGTTGATAGACAATGGCAAGTTAAACCTTTTGTGTAAAAATAAGTTAAAAGTTTTAGTGAAATTAGGATATAAAATACCATGGTTACACTTGAGACCATTTTTGGAGTAACACTTTCTTTGTTCAGGCAATGATACACTGTCTTAATCCTAGGGATACAAGTTGATGACTTCTTACCTAAAATAAATGGGAGCACAGAAAAAGGTAGTGTAAAATCTTAAATATTTTTCTTTCATAATTCCCTTTTACTGTTTAAGCAGCACAGAAAGGGTTTTAAGTGTTTGGAATGAAAATCATACAGTTCACAGACCATTGAATTCTTTTTTAAAGACCATTGAATTCTCTTTTAAAATAAGTTCCCAATATTTTGCAACTCTTAGTTCTGTGATTGATGGTTAGATATCCCTTGTTATATGGAAACTATAATTAATCAAGTAATAAGAAAGTAATAAGTTTAACTTTACATTGACTTCTTGTTTGTCCACTGCATTTTTCAAAGAATGTAGTTCTGGGGACCCCCAAGATGATTATTTAAGTGGCTTAAAGCACATGTCTAACAGGCCTAAGACCACAAGTTCAGACTCTGATTTGAATCTGCATGGGCCAATGTGATTTGCACAGCTCACACATCTGCTATTTTGCATCTCTAGTGATTCGAATGGCCTGAGAGATGAATCAGTAGTTTAAAAAGTATAATAGGACAAGTGTGAGACCCTGGTACCACGATACGTCCTCAGTTATCCTCACAGCCCCCACTGTTTGTGATCCCCAGCAAGGGGTGTGGATCAGGGGGCCAGACTATACCATTTTCTTTCATCAGGTGTTACTTTATGGGTATAATTGATTCCCATGTTTAATGTTTATACCGTGTCCCTTCCCATCAAGAATTTATTCAGTAGCCCTCAGAGCCCTTGAATGTGTCTCAGAAACTTCTTTCTCTGTCTGTTTCATCAGTTAGAGAAAATGGAATCAGTCATTTCTGTCATCTGAAAAATCATTTATGATTCCATAATACTATGACTCTTTTACTGGATATCTTGGATTATCTCTTTCCTAAAATATGTTTCCACTATTGTTTTTCCTACTGCAGTATCTGATACTTTTTTGTTGTTTTGTTTTGGAGCCACACCCAGCAATACTCAGGGGTTACTCCTGGGCTAACACACATACACACACACACACACACACACACACACACACAACACACATTTAAGTGCCAACTATATTCCAGATCCTGCATTAGATTCTTGGGAGTCCAAATAAATGAAACTTTTTTGTGTGTTTATCAAAGTGTGTGTCTTTCACTTCAATTTTTTCAGTTTTTAAACCAAACTTAGTGGAGGATGTCAAGGTTGAAAATCAGAACTTCATTGTAACTATTTTTCCCCCACATATTAGGGGATATCATTATACCCTTGAGGCAACAAAAAAACTGACAATGTTAGAAAGAGCTCTTCTGTTTGGTTTGCTTGGGTTTGCTTTTACATGAAGACCGGCAAGCTATACTTAGGTAATCATATATATTTGTGCTGCAAAGTAAAGACGTAACAATGCATATTCTAAAGTTTTAAAGCTTTCTTTAGTCACTGTTTTTTTTTTTTTTGGTAAGATAGATTGACATTTTGAAACTCTGATTTGATTATGTTTCAGTTTGAGAATTTTTAAAGGTGTGGTTTATATTCATTACACCAAAATTACGAATTTAGCAAGCTTATAAAATGACTTAGTCATCTTCTCATAAAAACCTTTCATCCTTAAATGAATGTGCATTTTCTGTTGTGACTATTCTGTCTTCCTTTTCCTTGAAACGTACACTTTTTTCCTCTTGATTGTGCATATTTTTATTAGTAGTGTGTTAACTGAAGCATGGAACATTCTGTTCTTTCAGTTAAGAGTAAAATGTTAAATACAATCAGTTAGTAATATACATTGAATTAGTTCTATATAATGAACCATCCTTTACTGTTTAGAATTGTCAAGTAATTACTTAAATTATTTTGCCAATCTCAGTTGTTTTAAGTAAAAATAGACAATTCCTTGATTTAAGACTAAAGATATTTTGGGTACTTGAAGGTTTTATTTGCTCTAAATTATATTTTTCATTCGCTAATTGATGTATTTGTATTATTATTGGTGATAAATAGGGTGAAAGGGACTGAGAGAAAATATTTAAGGAAACCGAGTAGAAATATACCTCACTATATATAAAAGCTTCATTACACCAAATTCTCGAATAAATTTTGGAATAAGATGAATTTGAGTCACTTGTGATATAATTTTTTTAATTCAGTATTCTAAGGTTATAAACGCCTGTAGCTACAATGTGCTATCCTATACAGTTTAAATAAAATTAGTGATGAGAGAGCCAAGTACAGTTGTAAAAGACTACTTAAAAATGTCTAAACATTTTAATAAGATTATTAGGATTAATAATACTTTCCAAGTAAATCTCATTTTTGAAATTACTTAAATTCAAAGTAGCTGCTATAAACACACTTTGCCTTATAAGTTTTTTACTGTTATCCATATAAGCATAGTACGACTATTATCTTGGAGGGACTAAAAAACCACTGTCTTCTAGAAATATTACGAAGCTACATATATTTTTGGGCTGGAGCGATAGCACAGCGGGTAGGGCGTTTGCTTTGCACGCAGCCAACAAGGTCAACCCGAGTTCGATTCCTCCGCCCCTCTCAGAGAGCCCGGCAAGCTACCAAGAGTATCTCGCCCGCACGGCAGAGCCTGGCAAGCTCCCCGTGACGTATTCGATATGCCAGACACAGTAACAACCAAATCTCACAATGGAGACGTTACTGGGCCCACTCGAGCAAATCGATGAACAACAGGAGTACAGTGACAGTGACATATATTATTAAAAATTTTTAGTTACCACATTAAAATTATGAAGTGAGGGCTGGGGAAAGAACTCAAAGGACGAGTGTGAATCTTTGTATGAGGGAGGCCCAGGCTCAAATCCCAGCACCTCATGGTCAGTCCCCTGAGTACTGCCCAAAACAAACCCTGAGCAGTTTTGGGTCTAACCCCTGAACACCTCACATGTGGCCAAAAAAATAACTTCTCTATCCCCAAAAATAAATAGATAAAATTCTAGTATTTTAACAGTATACTTAAAATATATTAAATCTGTTATATCCAAAATAATTTTAATTTTAGTCTGTAGAATATAATAATATTTCACACTCCTCTTTTCCTTACTAAATCTTTTTGAAATCATTGTATATTTTATACTTACAGCACATCTCAAATCAGACTTTGCACTTTTTAAAGCGCTTAGTAGCTACACCATGGAAGTGACCATTACATTCAACTGCATAGGTATAGAAAATTAAAATCTATAGGAAAAAAATCTAAACAAGTTATGTTTTATTTACAGAACATAACTATGTTTTATATAGTTATGTTTCTTTGGGGGAAGTTATAGGTGTGCAGGTGGGTAGGTGGGTCTCTTTATTAATCTTTTATTGATTCTAAACTAGAATAGTAAATAATAAAAAGTTAAGATATTAAAATCAGAATAGATAAGTGTGTATCTTGTGGCTTGCTAAGTGTTGGTGGGACATTCTGAATTAATAAATGTCATCTACAGTCCTATGATGTTTGAAATTTGATTTTAAATAAATTATACGAGGTTCTTAGGTAAATACTTGATTTCAAAAATAGTTTTTATATTTAACAGTAATATCATATAGTTTGAGTTCTGTTGTTTTATGGTTTTGGTTTTGGAGATTTCACACCTGGAGATGCTCAAGGTGATTCCCAGTTCAGTGCTCAGGAGTCACTCCTGGTGATGATTGAGGGACCATTTAAAGTTTCAGGATTAAAACTGGGTCCTCCTGCATGTGCAGCATATGTTTAGTATGTGTTTAGTTATTTCTTTGTCCCTCTTTGAGTTCTGAAAATACCATAACTTAGAAAGGATATATGTGAAACAAAATAGTTTTTTCTTGCCAGTTAGTACTGAATTTGGATATCTTGACTCCAATTGAAAATTCCTATTTAATTTTTAAATTTTAAATTTATGTTGTAGTTAATTTTTTGTGGGGATATATTGTATCACTTTGTAATATTCTAATTATGCAATGAATTTGTTTTTCTAAAATATGAGTGTTATCACTCTTTCCCCTTGAGTTTTTGTATAAAACTGATGATGACAGTAGACTGGGTGCATACAGCATGTAAAGGAAAATGATAGCTTTGAGTATGAAAGTACAGAAGGCTATCAGTGAGGGTATCGGGAAAGGTCAGTGAGTGAGGACCGTAGGTGCTACCTACCTTTCAAGCAAAGTTGAGATGATGAGAGGAGTGAGGTGGGTTGAGATGAAGAAGACACTCTTAAAGCCAGACTGATGCTAACCCAAGTCCTTTCTGAAATGTTAAAGTGCTTTCAATCCTTTCAGAGAGTTGTATTAGAATTGGTTTGCTTTGTGAGCCATACATTTGGTTCTCATGGGCTACTTCTGGCTCTGGTCAAGCTCACTCCTATCTGTGCAAGAGAAACCTGTGGTGCTGGGGATCGAATCTGGATCTTTAGGTTGCTAAATATGCACTCCAGCCTTCTGAGCTGTTCCCCAGCAGCTAGAATACATTCTTAATACTTGAACTTGCAAAATCTAGTAGTTTTGAAAGCTGCATATATGTATGCATATATACACACACATACATATAATATGGAATTTTATATATTATTATATATAATAATGCGTGTGTGTGTATATATATATATATAAGCTTGAGGAGGCAGAGGATGTTACACATATTCAGGCCTTAATTCTGATTCAGAGTAAAGGTTATCATAAGTTAAGAGTGAACTTTTTATTAAACCACTGTTAGAGTTTTATTCTCTCTATTTTTTGAGGGGGAAAAAAAACACATGTGAGCCAGTCAGAACCATTACCAAGCTCATATTTTAAAATATGTAGTCATTGTTTTTAATTATGTGGGCACAGAGATAAATAATGTAATGTAAAGTACAGACTAGTGCTTACAACAGAATACTTTGTGAAATGAAAGTGCAAGCATTTTAAAGAAACATCCAATAGTTAATTTTAAGATTATTTTATGGTACTAAAGTATTACTTTTGCCTCTTAACTGAGATGAATAGCTTTGAAGAGGTATTACTTGAGAGCAGCCATTTGAAAATTAATTCAATAAGAATAAATACATATAAATTTTAACTTATTTATAGGTACTTCTTAAGCTCTTACAAAAAAAGTATATCTTAAAAGTGGATAAATTTTTTTAAAGCAATAAAAGCCTTTGATTTTCTTGAGCTCTTTGGATAGAAACTGCACCTTTAAAAGCTAATCATTTAGGATAGAAATGAATGATTATGTAGTTTCAATTTTCAGTCCTGTAACTTTAACACAAAATTATGCTTGTTAATATTAAAACATATTAGATTTTATTAATTTTATTCAGAATTAGTCATGGTAATACATTTCCCTACCTATGCTGTTGGTTTTCCAAAACAGCAACAAACTATATCCTTAAAGGTGTTTCTTTCTTTATTAGAGCACTTGCTTTCAAAGAGTGGAGGGGACTGCACTTTTATCCATCAGTTCATAGAATGCCAGAGTGAGTACAGAGTATTTTTCACATTGCTTTCAATGAAGACGGACTAAAGTAAAGTGAAAGAGAGAAAATAAAGAGCTCTTTGTTTGTTGATAGTCAAAGTTCAGAAAAGGTCCATCTTTTGGACAGTGGTATGCATTTCACATTGTTTCTCTATCTCTTTTGAGAAATTTTGTTGCATTTCCCTTCACCAAAGAAAGTGAGCATTTCTTTATTCCCACCAAAAAAATATTTTGTGTTTGTTAATTAAAAATCATTTTTGGGCAAGGAACAGAATAAAAAGCCAATTTTTCTGTGTAGGTATTTAAGTAGTGATATTATTAGTGTATTATTATTTGCATTTCTTTATTAAGTTTCTTAAGTGATAAAGTAAAGCTACAAAAGCAGTTAGTTTGGGCACTAAGAACTGAAGATGGTCCATAGGGTAGCTGGAGCTGTCTAGGGACATACCATAGGTTGTCCCACACTGACATCAACTACAGCTGTCTTTAATAATGTCTGCCTGCCCACCTCTCTCCTTTCCTTGCCCTTCCTCCTTCCCTCCCTCCCTCTCTCCCTTCCTTCCTTCCTTCCTTCCTTCCTTCCTTCCTTCCTTCCTTCCTTCCCCTCCCCCTCTCTCCTCACCTCTCCTTTCCTCCCCTCCTAATATTTTTGTGGTGTATTGAACCTAGAGATTCACACATGTGACACATGTACTGTACCACTAAGCCACATTCCTGGTCCTAAGAATATATATATATTTTTTTTTTTAAAGTGTGTTTTTATTTTGAGAACGAGGGAGACTCCCTAAGCATTGCTTAGGAGAGGAGACCCAAGGCCCTTCCTGGTGTTTCTTGGCCAACTAGACTGGTGACTCACTATTAGGGACTGGGCATCATACCAGGGTGGACCTCATACAAAGTATGTACCCTAACCCTTGTAGTACCTATTCGGCCCCCCAATATTATTTTAAAGATAGATAGTTTGGTTGTTTTTGTTGTTGTTGTTGTTGTTTGTCCTGTTTTAGCAACTGAACCCAAGTCTTCATACAGTCGTGGCAAATGCTCTGCCTACCTCTGAGCAGCATCTCTGGCCTTGTAGTTTGGTCTTGAGGTGATTTAGATCTCTTCTGAATTCTGAGCAAAAGTATCATGACTTACTTGAAAACCACATAACTCCCTGTCTGTAAGTCACAAGTATGTGACACTGTCTTGGTCTTATCAGTGATAGTGGTGGCTATGTGTAAAGAAAGTTTATTGAAGAGATCTATGCCTTTCCTATCATTAAAAAAATTTATAGATATAGTCGAAGTGACATCTGCACTTGTTTGTTCATTGCAGCACTCTTTACAATAGCCAGAATCTGGAAAAAACCTGAGTGCCTGAGAACAGATGACTGGTTAAAGAAACTTTGGTACATTTACACAATGGAGTACTATGTAGCTGTTAGAAAAGATGAAGTTATGAAATTTACATACAAGTGGTACTACATGGAAAGTATCATGTTAAGCGGAATGAGACAGAAAGAGAGGGATGGACATAGAAAGATTGCATTCATCTGGGGAACATAAAGTAACAAAATAGGAGACTAACACCCAAGAGTGGCCGAGATTAGTACCAGGAATTTTGCTCCATGGCTTGGAGCCCAGCCTCACACGCTGGGGGAAAAGGCAGCTCAGATAGAGAAGGGAGCACCAAATAAAGGGTGTTGGGATGATCCTCCCAGGATGCGAGATGCATGCTGAAAGTAGACTATAGACCAAACATGATTCCCACTCAATGCCACTTTTGCAAACCACAGCACCCAAAAGGAGAGAAAGAATAAAAGGGAATGCCCTGCCACAGAGGCAGGGTGGGATGGGGGGATGGGGGGTGAGAGGGGTACTGGGATCAGTGGTGGTGGAGAATGGGCACTGGTGGAGGGATGGGTACTCAATCATTGTATAACTGAAACCCAAGCACAAAAATTTGTAGGTCTACAACTGTACCTCATGGTGTTCCACTAATAAAAATTAAAAAAAAAAACTTTATAGAGCATTTTTCTCCTGCTCTCTCTTTTTTTATTTTTTTTGAAAAAAAACTTTTTTCCCAAAGTTTTTAGTGCTCAGGAATTTATTTTGTGGATATGCGTTTGTTTGTGCTACTCCAGTGTACGTCCACGATCTCAGAAGCCTTAGGGGTGTCTGTAGCAAACAGAAACACAGAAAGTAAAATCTTATATTCCTTATAAATACTATTAGGAAATTTGGGATTTTATTTTTAGAGAATTTCTATTTCTGTCCATTTTAAGAACTCTGATAGTTAATATAAGCTTAGTCATACTTTGAGGCAAATTATGTAGTAAATATATTTCTTTGTCCTTAAATAACTTTTTAATAAGCATAAGTTTAATATATCTTTGTTATCTTCTGATTATTAGATCTCACAATTACAAGAAATTTTCACAGGCATTTGTTGCAAAATAATTGGTACCCACTGAAACCAACTTAATGTAGAATAAATAATATAAAATGTAAATTTGTAAGAGAAAGTTTTTTATTTCATGTGATCAATTTTATGTTATTTTTATTTTGAACTTTGGGGATTTATATTTTTGGGCTCAAAGAAATAAACACAGAATTTCAAAAAACTCTTTTACCAAGTTAAAATTTGTAAAAATCATTTCTAAATACTATAAAATATATGAAATATTTAGCTGCAGCTCCTTGTATATTTTTATCTTTTTTTGCAGTACTGGGGTTTGAACCTGGATCTGCACTGTACTACTAAACTGCATCCTGGCCCTTAGTTTTGGTTTCTTGTTTTTTATGTTTTTTATTTTTAATGTCTGGCATCGTGGTTTACAAACCGTTACTAGTAGGATTTTGTACCTGAGCTATTTCAGAAAATGTTAGGATGTATTTTGCTTTCATTTTTTTATTGTATGTGTAGCATAAACTTACTTTATGCTTTAAAAATTAGAAAACTCTTAATTCACTTCCATAAATACTTCTTGTCTGTCATTAGTATTTTGGCAAAATTAATAAGATAATAATTTGGTTGTCAGCTCTCCACTTGCAATTTTGAGGAAATTTAATTAATGGGACCATATTTCAGTTTGTTTTTCTTTCTGTTGTAAAGCAGATTGTATCTCTTAATTCTTTTAGGGAAAAACTTTGAAATTCTTTTCTTTTTTTTTATGACTCTGTTTTAATTCTTTTAACTATTTAAAAAAATAATAAAACAAACTGGGAAGTATGCTATTGTAATCACACTTTTCATGCAGGCAATAAAATTAACTATTGAGGAGCCAGAGAGTTAGTACAGCAAGTAGGCCACTTTCCTTGTAGCAGTCGACCTGGGCTCAATCTGCAGCACCCAGGTTGACCCTCAGAGACCTGCAAGTAATGATCCATGAGAGTCAAGCCAGGAGTAAACTCTGAGCACTATTGGGTGTGTCCAAAAAAAAAAAAGATTGGTTGTTGAGCAAATTTCAGTATAATCTTTGTATAATTTAGAACCATGAAGTAAGATTTCTTTATAGTATAAAAATATAGCATAAGAATCTACAGTTAACAAGACTTACCAAAAAATTGCTCTAGCCGCATTTTCCTCATCAGAGAGTCAGGCATGAAGTTTGATTTCAGCAAAACTTCACATTTAGTGTTCCTTGCAAGGTTTACCTTACAAACTTACAACACATCATATAAACTTAGGAGACTTTGTGTTCTACTAAAGATGCATTCTGAATTGTTCTAGATCTGTAAATCAGTTTTGTGCACATTTCATAAACTCTGTCACCTAATTACATGCTCATTGGAAAAATGAAATCTTTGTTGTTTTTTGGGGGGGAGTTACCCACTGGTGATGCTTAAGGGTTACTCCCACCTCTGTACTCAGGAATTAACTACTGGTGATATTTAGGGAACCATGTGAAAAGCCAGGGATTGAACCCAGGTTGTTTGCATGCAAGGCAAGCATCCTATGTACTGTACTATCACTCTATTCCCTGGAAAGATAAAGTTTTAAAGTTGAAGGAGGCCAGCTGTCGTGTGGTGGGAATCGTTCAATGAGAACAGCCTTTTCTGAACTGTTGTCTGTCTCTTTGATTTCTCTTGCTACTGTTTGTCCAAGTGGGGGCAGAGGCATCACTCTGAGTCCTAGAGGAACTTTGCTCTGAAGCCTGCTTTGTAAAGCTAAAATGTTCCCTCTCCCAGTACATCTCTCTCTTTGTGCAGTTAACTATGCCCTGAAATAGAGCATTTCTTTGTTTGTATTCTAACTAACCTTAATCCATGCATCCTGTGAGAGAGTGGTTTGTTTTTAATTTGTGTGTGTGTTGGGGGGGGGGGGGTGGTGTGGGTAGTAGGAGTGCACACCTGGCAATGCCCAGGAGTTTCTGCACTTAGGAATTACTCCTGCGTAAGTGCTGGGGGAACCATATGGGATGCTGGGGATTCAACCCAGGTCAGCCACCTACCCATACTGCACCCGTGTACTACCTGTCGCTCTAGCTTCGAGACAGTGGTTTGAATTATTAGGCAAACGTTTAATTATCTCATTGTTTTATGTCTTATTGCCCCCTAAAGTAAAGTGCAAAGAAAAATATTATTGAACTAGAGAGCGCTAAGGGCTGAGACGTGCTTTGCACGTAGGAAGCCTGGGTTCAATCCTTAGCTCCATGTGGTTGCCCCCGCACTACCTGGAGCAACCCCTAGTAGTCCAAAGTGTGGTCCCCAAGACAAAAAAAAAAAAAAAACTCTTTCTGCTCCTCTCTGCTCCTCGCTCCCATTTAAAAGTTACAGCCACTCTCTGTGTATGTCTCTTTTATTCCCTCCTCCTTCCTCCTAGGGCTTTGCTCTCATGAAAATGTCCTTATTTGGACTAATACACTGAATCAGTGTTGTTCTTGTAACTGTTTATTTTCACCATTCTTAGGAATTAGTCTCTCTGAACAATCTCAAAATCTTACATGTTCTGCTTAAAACAGACTTTTTTTTTCCTGTTTTGATTTTTAAAACTTTAACATTCTCAAAGATTGTTTTT